ATATATATATATATTGGTTTTTTACATATTTTTCTCTTATTTTGGCACTAGATAACTATTTGTTGTTTGAGTTTTAATTATTATATATCAGAAATTGAATCTCAAATATTGATGTAATAAAAAAGCACATTGTTTTCAGCTTAATGACAAACTCTGACTTAGTAAAGTAAGAATTATTCTTCGACCCACTGAAGTAATTTTGCAAGGGGAATTCAACACAGACGATACTATAACATAAACCTTTTATCATCTTTCTTTTAAGATAATCTGCCAGGTTTTAAAAATCTCTGTCCAGACTCTTTAAGAGACATTGTGGAAGAGTTGAAGAGCAACACCACAGCCACAGCTTGCTCTGGAGTTGGTTGTTTTATATAGTTAAATTTGTTTACAAGTAGAGTCAATTTACTAATAGTTGGCCCTAAAGCAATAAAATGTTTTAAGTTAGGAGCCAAATACAAATGGGTACCATATTTTTCAGAGTTTTCTTAATGAACATTTTTGAAAGCATGAATCCCTATCTTTCCACATTGTTATTATGTTCTATGTGGTCTTACATAACATCCCAGCGTAATTTATAACTGAGTTATTGTATTAAACTTAATTGGGTGCAAAACATTTGTACTAAATACATCAATGCTCTTTTTTAATGGTTTTCTCTGCTGTGTCTTCCAGTCGATCGACCCCAGCCAGCAGTTCACCTGGGAGCACTCCAACCTGGAGGTGAACAAGCCCAAAAACCGCTACGCCAACGTCATCGCGTATGACCATACACGAGTCATCCTGGCTCCCGTAGATGGTGAGTTTCATCCAGAGATGGTTGCCCAGGGAAAGAACATGCTTTGAGTTTCTAATGGAGGAAGGAGGAGAGTCTCAACAAATTTGGGTTCAATGTGTGAACAGCTAGAGGTGTTCTGAGGGAGAGGGTGAGTGAGCTGCAAAATGGATAAAATCAGAAATTTGCAAACATTGCTGAAGACCCAGGGTGTGCACTGGCATGAAACTGACAACAGCAGCAAATGCAATGAAGTGCAGCCAGCACCTCTCCACTACAAGAAGTGGGAGAATGAGCGGGTTTGATCTGAGGCTCATGAATTTACAGCAGCAGAGCACAGTTTGTTTGTCGTTGCCTTGTGAAAGGCGCTGCTGCCAGAAACAAACGTTTCGTTTGATTGCTTGATGTCATACAAGGAGGTTAATTTAATGTGGCAATTATGCAGATTGATGCTTTTATCGAGAGCCTCATGAGGGCTTTGTTTGCAGGTATCCTGGGAAGTGACTACATCAATGCTAACTACATTGACGGGTATAGGAAACAGAACGCCTACATTGCCACCCAGGGACCCCTGGCAGAGACATTCGGGGACTTCTGGAGGATGGTGTGGGAACAGAGGACCGCCTCTGTCGTCATGATGACGCGCCTTGAGGAGAAATCTAGGGTTAGGAATCCAGGCCAATACCCAGTGACCTAAATATATTTAATTTGAGCACTAGAAAAAGCAATCTGCTTACCATACATCTATCATTTCTAAGATTTTTATGCTTTCATGTTTCTACTTCTAACAGATAAAGTGTGATCAGTACTGGCCGAGTCGCGGCACAGAGACATACGGGATGACCCAGGTCACATTGCTGGACACAATGGAGCTCGCTACTTTCTGCGTCCGCACATTTTCTCTGCATAAGGTAAGTGGTTTTGCTCACTTTTGACATTGCCTGTCCTTCATTTTAAATTTATTCCAACTAAAAAAATCCTCTAATCCTTCGGGGTCACACTTTGGACATAGGTTGAATCTGGGGGTCTCATGAATTACTGTCACCACTGAGCAAGCGGTGTTTGTGGACACTGAGAGGCTAATAGATTGGTCCGGGTGTCGTGAAGCGCTCAAACCAGGCCATGGTCCATGTGTCAGGGGCTGATATGCAATCAGTGCTGGAAGTGGAGCGATGTCTTCAAGCACAGGGCTCATCTAGGACCGTCAGTCTGGCATGTCCCTGTGGCCTACTTAGGAGCCCTGAAACTAGGCCAACTGAAGCTTCCCAGTGCAGCTCAGCCTTTCTATATTTTGGTGTTGTCTGGAGAGTCATATTTTGAAATATTTAAAACTGCCATCATCCATGTCGTTTTTGCTATAAACTTTAAATAATTGAAAAAAATGCTTTGTGTTTTCCAGTGGGATTTATTCGTTATTGCTTTCTGTCAGTAAATAAATCAGTTTGAGATCTTTTCCAGAGTTCTTTTAAAAGTTTATACCCCTGACCTTTTTTTCGTATGACCACAAGCTTCATTGTATTACACAATATGTTGTCTTATTGACAGCTCCAAAGGATAAAATACCTAAAAGAACTACAACATGGAACTTTCACTTAACTCCTTTTCTAGCTCTGATATCTAGACATTTGGCCAGATTGGACAGAGATATTCTATGTATTGTACTTCTTAACTCTTTCCATATATTCTTAATTTAGTTCTGGACTTTGACAGGTGCTTTGATCTTTGCCACCCTGCTATATTCCTTGCTAAATGTTGAGGGTTGCTCCACTAGATTGGTTATTCTACTAGAAGCTTCTCAAATCTTTTACAGGATTTCCTGCACGATTGTCCTTGCATCCAGCTTCATTTATTACTTTAATCGACTCTGACCACCTTCTCATTCCCTTATTAAGAAGAGCACTTCCATAGCATGAAGATTCCACTTAATTTCAACTTATTTGCAGCCTAAAACAGTTTTTCATCCAGAATCACTCTGTATTTAGCTCCATGTATCTCCCTATTAACTGTCACCATTTTTACAGGCCAGATGATTTGTTCAAGACAATCTATAATCTTAGGCTGTGTCAGAATGTACACCCTAATCACGATATAGGGCACTATATAGTGGTTACGCCATTTTAAATAAACGTCTAGGGGATTAAAAAGTAGTGGACTCAAAATTTCCTACAATGCACCTTGAGAAGTAGTGATCATCCATTGTCAGTAGACAAGCAGATATATCCGGTAATGCTTTGTGAGGACAGCTGTCCTTACAAAGCATTGTGGGATTTATTGTCACACCCAGCGCAAATACAACGATGATGCAGGTACCATGCGGGGAGTGGAGTTACATGACCAACGGGATACGAAAAGTAGGGATCAGTAGAGTTCACTATAGAGACCTATATATAATCACCGCTCTATATAGTGATTGAGGGATCTACGGATTAGGGCAGATGTTCGGACACAGCCAATGTCTCCGACAACCCAGAGAGTTTTTAATTTATTTTTTTTGGCCAAATGTTTAATTTTGTCATTTTTTTGGTTGGAACTTGACACAACATGAAAAGGTGAAGGGGCATGAAAGATTTTGCAAGAAAGAGAAAATCTGTCCTTTCACAAAGACATAATTACACATTAAAGATGTGTAAACTGACATTAAAGATGTGTAATGCCATTCAGGTCTGAAAAGTCAACGGTTTTTCCCCATTTGTTTCTCACGTCAGAATGGCAGCAGTGAAAGGAGGGAGGTGCGTCAGTTCCAGTTCACTGCTTGGCCCGATCATGGTGTGCCTGAGTATCCCACCCCCTTCCTGAACTTCCTTCGCAGAGTCAAGGCCTGCAACCCTCCTGATGCTGGACCCATCATTGTCCACTGCAGGTATGCAGCTTTAACTTGCTTTTGAAGAGGATCAGTCAAACTCTAGCTGTAGACATGATGAGTGATGATGAGAAAGCAAATCATCTTGCACAAAGGCTGCCTTTAAGTTCAGAATGATAAGTAGTTTTATGCTCCCCCATCAGTGCCGGTGTGGGTCGCACTGGCTGTTTCATAGTCATCGACGCTATGCTGGAACGCATTCGACACGAGCGCACTGTGGACATCTACGGCCATGTGACTCTCATGCGCTCGCAGAGAAACTACATGGTACAAACGGAGGACCAGTACAGCTTCATTCATGAGTCCCTGTTGGAGGCGGTGGCCTGTGGGAACACTGAGGTGGCCGCCCGCAGCCTCTATTCCTACATGCAGAAGTTGTCCAAGGTGGAGCCGGGAGAGCATGTCACCGGCATGGAGCTGGAGTTTAAGGTGGGAAAACGCTTAAGGGATAAAACAAAACTGTTGAAAAAATATTTTTGACATTCTGAAATTTTGCCTTTTTTTCTAGTATCTACAAGAAAAAAGTCTGAACAGTCTTTATGAACAATAATAAGATAATGCCTAACCACTTTTACACTGAAATTAGTTTTGTTTTGTTAGTTACAGAGCCAAAAGATAGATATGGATTTACAAAGAGGAAAAGGCACATGTTTTTTTGCATTGCATGCATTTCTTGAAAACTAATATAAAGATATAAAAGTAACTACAGGTTAAATAACATGTAATAAATGTAGTAAAATCTTTATTTCATAATTTTAGAAGGTTAAACATCATAGAGTTCAATTTAAAACAAATTGAAGTTCGCCCATGTGCGTGGAGCTATTTTGAAATTAAACTGAATATGAAATAATTCTCATTTTGAAATATTTTGACAAATTTACTAATTTATTTCTAAATGATGTAATTTTTTGGAATATTTTATCAGTATCCAATGGCTTTACAGCAGCATAAACCTCTGTTAAAAATGTATTTTTTCTATCCATTTTGGTTGGAATCTATCATACCTATCATCTATCATCTAAACACACTTTGCTAACTTTGCCGAGTTTCTAAAATTCTCAGATTGTGACAACATGTCTTTAAGCTGACCCCATAAATCTTCTGTCAGATTTAGCTCTAGGCCCAGTTCTGTCACTTCAAACGCTATAGACACCTGAAGGTTTAAGGTCAAAACTGTTCCAGATTTCACTTCAGATCAGACATTTGGTTGATGTTAACAAGGTCCTCTCAACTCACCCTTGGCTTTAGGATGTTTGCCACTGAGATATTTATCAGTTGTTGGCAGTAAAAGCCTGTTTAAGAGGCCAAATACTTTTTATATATTATACAGTAGCCTGCAAAATTTTGCCTTGAAGTTATCTTTTTTTTTTTTGCATTTTGCACACTAAGATTGCAATTCAATGTGTTGTGCAGCCATAGCACATCATAAGACAAGATTTTCTTACAATACATATGACACATTAAATGTGGGAAAACATTTGAAATGGTTTATAAAGAATTGTATTTGTCTACCACCAACACCCTCGAATACACAGGTGAAGACCAGTGTTTTATACATGTTTTGAGTGAAGAAAGCTTCTGTAAGCTTGCATATATGTAAAATACCATATACAGAATGCATTTGCTTAGAAGTGTATAGAAAATATTCATTCAAACATATTCTGTTAGATTTTTCTTTATTATTACCTAAAATATTTAGTTGGTCACGTATAGTGTCTTTCACTTATCATTTAGGGAGAAAAAATGTAATTGTTGATTTCTCACCTTTTGAATTTGAAGAGTTTCATGTTTGTCAATGTGCTTATTTTTATGGTTTTTATTTTCAATTGTAAAGTAACATAGATTCAAATTGTCATAATGGCCTTTTTCTTTTTGCAGCCAATCAGGAAATTAAGTAATACTTCACTTGAAAATGTATACAAATTATGGATGAAAAAATTTATCAAATTAATAGTGATTAATCGATTTTTTAAATAATTGTAAAATTGTATAGAGTATAGAGACTCATAACTGATGAAAAGCAATTATATCAAAATTATATATATAACAATTAAATATATATGATAAATAAATATATAAACATTTTGCATTTCAGATAATAAAAATTGTTCTCTTCTGTCAATATGCTCCATCCAGAATTCCTCAAGTGGAAAAGTTTTAGCTTCATCTGGTTTATTTTAAAAAATAATCTTCTTATAAACTTTGGCTATCAGATTCCTAATAGATGAATCCAAAAAAAAAAAAAAAACACAGATTAATTGATTTTTCAAAATAATCATTAGTTGCAGCCCTAATACAAATTGTTAAAAAACAATGTTACGTCTTCTTGTACTTGCTCTGTTTTCATCTCAGTGGGCCCAAGAAGCGAATAACATATTATTTAAGAGACATTATTTTTTGCTGTCAGTGAACGGTCCAATTTTAAACCAAAAATGTCCGTTTATCTTTTATTCCAGCGCCTGGCTAACACCAAAGCCCACACATCACGGTTTGTCACAGCAAACCTCCCTTGCAACAAATTCAAGAACCGACTGGTGAACATCATGCCCTACGAAACCACTCGCGTTTGCCTGCAGCCCATCCGAGGTCTGGAGGGCTCCGACTACATCAATGCCAGTTACATAGATGGATACAGGTATGTTGTCCTCCTGCAAACGCTAATGCGACCCGACCCTCCTGTCGGCTTATTGTGCCTTGATAAGTGACCAGATCTGAGCGCTTTTCAAAGCGGCCCTTTCATCTGTCATGTCGTGTCAGCTCTGTCATTACTCTGTACGTTCTCCCACAACTTGTCTTACGGTGCAGCACTCGCCTCAGTCCCTATGAACGAGATGGGGTTCCTGATGATTCAGCTGTTCAGAGTGGTTTTACGCGCGTGTTTTGACTGTTCCTCATCTTGCCTGAAGCCTGACCCAGTTTTCAGTGAGATGCCTGACAGATGAAGAAACGAGGAGAATAAGGGGAGGAGGTTGCCTCATAATATGTACTGTGTGTGTGTTTGTGTTCAGGCAGCAAAGAGGCTACATCGCCACCCAGGGTCCACTGGCTGAGACTACGGAGGACTTCTGGAGGATGCTGTGGGAGCACAACTCGACCATCGTGGTCATGCTGACAAAGCTGAGAGAAATGGGACGGGTAAAGACAATACAGAATTTAGTGGATTATTTGTTTTTCAGCCTATTTACACTGGCACACCTAAAAAATTTTAAAGAAAAGCAGTTGCCTTCAGAAGTCAATTAATCGGACAATAGAGCCCACCTATGTCTGACATCATCCCTTATAAAAAGCTTCCAATATTAGAAAACAAAAATCATCAAGAAGACCAAGGAACAAAGCAGACAGATGAAAAATTAAGATGCGGGGAGATTTAAAGCACTGTTAGGTTATATAATTATTTCCTTGTGTTAAAATATCCAACATAACACTGATAGAATCAAACATCTGAAAGACAGAAGCAGAATGCTGCAGACTTGCTTATGGCCGTACTCCTAAACAGGCAAGGATGTAAGCAATCAAAAAGCTCCTGGTTCCTCTGGAGGAGCTGCAGATATCAGCTCCTTCAGTGGAAGAATCTGGAAACCTCAAAATTGATAGCCTTTGTGGAATACATCCAAACAGAAGTTGGTGTTTCAGGTCAAGCCATATATGTGCATTCATCAAGGGAGACAGTGATCACATTTTTGGTCTATGTGTTTTATAACAACATGCTGTGAGATAGTGTTCTTTAGAGGGGACAAAGGTTAAATACACTGTTAAATTTTCACACTGTCAATTTATGGTACGTTACTGACTACTATCATTACTTTCTCAGTAATCCCCTGGGAATATATATTACAATATTTCTCTGTATATATTTGCAGTAAGTGATTGTGAGTATTTTACAGTAATTTCCACCAAAACAATAGCTACATGTTGTAACTTTAATGTCTGTGGAATTACTGTGATATGAATGTAGCTGTGAAATCACAGTATTTTAACTGCAAAAGAAATCTACAATTTAAATAATACTGTAAAATATTATACCTTGGATTTCAGTAGGATTTTAACTAAAACCTGTTTTGAATTTGCTCCATAAACAAATTTTGTTACGAAAAGTCAAGTAAAGTAGAAACAAAAAGAATACAACATACAGAGAACTGAAAATGAAAACATTTACACCATCCATTCGAAGTCCATTAGTTTACGGACCAGTGTCCTCACATGTGGACTGATGGACTTCTTCCTGGATTTAAATCCTGCCTCAGAGTTACTGTCCAAGTAGTACCTGTAAACAAAAGATTAATCCAGGTGTTTATGCCCAATGTCGTCATGCCAACCAAGGTCAGACACACCTGGATTAATCAGTCTATCCAGTAATGAAAGACAGGCAATGAAGGAGCTGCTGAGATTCAGGCATAGAGTGCATCCAGTGATTAGTATTTGGTAATTATGACAATACCTTTGAATCCACTCCAAAGTGCAGGTGCTTTCACCAGATTGCTGCTGATTGACGTTGTAATAGCGTGCTAAGAGTGCAGCTATCCCATTGATGACAGTTATATGGCCCCATTACGACCCCTCTTTCAAGGATAGCATCCAGAACCTGGACTTCATCAGCATGTTGTGCTATTCTAAAGGCGTGGACTGATGCAAATTAGTAGAATTTCTCAGCAGCATGGTTTGCTTCTGCAATAGCTTCAGTGTTGAAAATGAAAAAAAAAAAAAAATCCTTTTTGGGACTTTAAAGAAGCAAGTAAGTCAGCTGATGTATAGCCCAGATGGATATATCGTGCTGAAATATGATATTGTATGGATGGATATAAATATTTAACAAATACATTACACCAAATACTGGTTCTACTGTATAATTTGGATTAAGAAAGCCAAGCTATCTGCAGTTATGACAGAGAATTAAAAAACAGATTGAAAAGCTTTTTAAAATAATTTCTAACTTTGTGATATACAGAATAGAATGGAATAGAATTCAACTTTATGGTCATTACACTGTCACAAGTACAAAGCAGCGAAATGTAGTTTGCATCTATCTAGAAGTGCTATACAGGATATAAATAATTATTTACATGTGCACAGAGACTATGTATGTACTGACTATAAATGGTATATAAAAACAGAGAATAATTTTCAGAGGCTATAAAATAAAAAAAATATGTATATGTTTTTAAACGAAACATATCATTATGAAATTAAAATGTTTATTCAGAATTTATGTTCAGATGTTCTGTTACCACGGTTACCAGCTGGACCTTGAGTCAGCGCATTGATTTAGAGCAATAATAAGGCTTGACCGGGACTACGTTTCCAAAAATAAAAGAGGAAGAACATTTTCCAGCCTGATCATTGTTCTAAAACTCTAGTTATTAACCATGGTAACAAAACATCCAAACATATATTAACATAGCTTATTCACGGGTTATATATCACAACACCGAGACAGAAGTCAATGCATTTAATTGAAGGTGGGTCTATAGTGCTTTTACAGGAGTGACAGCCTCTGGACTTTTTCAAGCCGTAGTTTCAAAAGCGTGTGACAAAATTAGCAGCTTATAGCCTGGATTTTATTGTAATATTTATATATAATATTCTGTGTGGCAAAGTTTCCTGCATTTTCTCTACCAAATAACTTTTGACCTTCCCTCCTATGGATATGCGAAGATCATAGAAAATGGTTCTACTTTTTTCATGTGCGAATTCACACACATAACAGTAGAGTAGAAAAAGCTACTTAATATTTGAAATAATGTTCACCTTACCTTCTTTTTGTCTTCTTGCCGATGAGCGACAAATAATAGACATTCAATACTGCTCTGTCTCCCATAATCCACAACATTTTACCATAGTTAAAATTTTAATGCAGCGAGTTGAGTTTTCACAAAGGATGGTGTGACTACAGTATTTTGACAATGCTACAGTAAAATATTGGAAAATTGGCCAAATTCAAAGTCATTTATTGTGCAAAAACCAATTGCAGAGTACAATACTAAATTATAGCACAATGTTGCAAATATTAGAATAAAATCTTGTCAAATTAAAAATACAGAAATGAATCGTGAAACATTAAAATAAATATCCAGGTAATATCCTGCAGTGTAGGCTAGAAACAGGGACATCCTGGTTTAAAAGTTAATAAAAACTACAAAACATTGTGACAAGAAAACTTATATCCAGATCTACAATAACATGGTTTAGATAAAAGCGTATGCAGGTTCTAGAAAGTCTAGTTCTAAATAATCAAGAATTTGTGGCAAGACTTAAAAATGTATATTCTTAGAGACTACCTATTTAGTCAGACTCAGTTTGGGCTGATTCCTTCTTATGTGGGTCTGTCACACAGAACCGTATTTTAGATCAAATAAAATTAAAGTTATTAAAGCTGTCCAAGATACAGCAGCATACTTGGAAGCATCACACCTTGGGGAGTGGCAGCCTAGTGGTTATGGCATAAATCTTGGAATTTTAGGTTCTGAGATCCAGCCCCACTCCCACTGACTGCCACTCTGGGTCTCTGAGCAAGACCCTTAACCCCACACTGCTCCCCGGGGCGCCCTACTATGGCAGCCCACTGCTCCCTAAGGGGCTGGGTTAAATGCAGTGGTAAGTTTCTCCAGTGTGAAATCAATAAAGTGCAGTTATTGTTCAATTATTATTATTACCTTCCAGGATCCCAGTCCTGTTCGCCATTAATTCAAGTCTGGTTGTATTCTACTCTCTTAGGAGAAGTGTCACCAGTACTGGCCTGCCGAGCGCTCTGCCAGGTACCAGTACTTTGTGGTGGACCCGATGGCGGAGTACAACATGCCTCAGTACATCCTGCGGGAGTTCAAAGTGACGGACGCCAGGGTGGGTTGATGATTATAAACTCCTTGTTTTCTATGTTGCATCCAGACTGTGAAACATCCTCCTCCTCAATTTTTCTCCATTCCTCTGACATAGAGAGGAATAGAGAAAAAGAGGGCAGTGACGCGAAGCATGTCCTATCGACCCGCGGCGTGTGTTGCTAAATGAGTGTTTTGTATGCGCATGTGTGTTTGCACCACAGCCGGTCCCCGTTTATTGACAAGATGCCGCAGGCCATGCATTCAACCATGCCGTCTCCAGATTATCTTGACAACATGGGCGTGCATGTGCATGGATGTGCCAGTCATAGATAACTCCCGTTAAGCCTGTCCTGCAGTGACGCCACATTGACAGATGCTCTATTGATCTCCATTAAAGGGGAGTCGGAGAGGCTGAGCAGAAGAGAAAAGATGTAATTGCCTACTGAGTGGCTGACAGAAGCAGACGTACTGACGTTACAGTTTCAAGTTAACCACAGCTAACTGATCCCGGGTCAGATTACAGTAATCATTAGAAGCAGGGGGAAAAAAAGGATGTTGCCTGGCAAAGCATCTCTCTTTAGTCAATAAAGCTAGAGGCTCTTGAAATAGTCATTTTGAAATGATCTCCTGGAATCAACAGTATATGCATGATAAAAATCATGTGTTGAAAAGAAATCAAATTTGCTTTTAAATCAGAAATGTGTTCAGGTGTTCTGAAGAAACTTCCCTGCTCTTATCTTCGCCTACTCCTGCAGGACGGCCAGTCCAGAACAGTACGTCAGTTCCAGTTCACCGATTGGCCAGAACAAGGCGTGCCCAAATCTGGGGAGGGCTTCATCGACTTCATTGGCCAAGTGCATAAAACCAAGGAGCAGTTCGGCCAGGATGGACCGATCACCGTTCACTGCAGGTATTTAAATAAGTTTTTTTTTATTTTAAGATATTGTGTCTCTTTAGCTGTGTAGCAGAGTGGAGCCTGGCACCCTCTAATTTGCTCTGACATGGGTTTCTCTGACTGCAGTGCCGGTGTGGGGCGGACAGGCGTCTTCATCACTCTTAGCATTGTACTGGAGCGGATGCGTTATGAGGGAGCCGTGGACATCTTCCAAACTGTCAAAATGCTGCGGACACAGAGACCAGCTATGGTGCAGACTGAGGTAAACTAAACCACACTACATGAGCTGAAGGCATACTGAGGTCACCTCAAGTGAAATACTTTCTGACAGCACCGTAGAAATCATCCATGATTAAACACAAAAGAGTTTAATTCATTTCAAAATTTGGAGAACCTCAACACAAAGTCAATAAATAATGTGTTTTTAACATCTAATCCTCTTACTAATTTCTAATCTAAAGACTAATTGTAAGTTTATACTCTTTATGATTGAAGAAGAAACATAGAGACCAAGAAGTGTAACATTCAGAGAAGATTTTAAGATTTTGAAGGTTAATTTACATGCATCAAGCTCTTGTTTCTCACTGCTTTAGAGCAGCTTTTATTAATGGAAATTTCCCATTTATTTCTGAGAACATTTCAAAGTGTTACCTGAATCCAGTTTAGCAGACGAATTTGGTACTCATATTAAAATTTTTAGACGTTTTCGTCTATAACAAAACAGCAAACGAGAGGTAATAAATATTTTTGTACAATTAACATAAAAGCAGCTTTTTTAAAAGAATCTCCTCTATACCTTTAAGGGAATTTCTCTGGATCCTAATCAGATATGAGTCTGGAATTTGACTAGGCCAATCCAAAACATTAGTTTTGGTTTTTCAGCCTCTTTGTGCACTTAAGTTGTTAAGCGTAATTGTTTCATGTTAGCACAGTAGGACATAAAACAACTAAATATGATTAAGTAAATGCCAAAACTAGTTGCATTATTTTTTTCAGTGTAGATGTTGTTCTTGGCCCTTTGCCGCCTCCTGGATGAGTTGCTGTTGAAGTCTTGGAGTAGCTTGGTTGGCAGGCTACTACTTCAGTGTTCATCAAACTTTTTATTTTATTAATTTGTGGATAAGGGATCTACCTGTTGTTTAATTAAATCTCAAAACCTTAGGCCAGTAGAGGACAATGACTTTGTTTTTCTCCAAAAGTTTTTCATCTTTGGGTTTTCTTTAGATTAGGTTCTGATGTGTTTTTTTTTATTATCTTTTAGCCTACATCATGTTGCCAGACAGGTGCTTTAGAAGGGATTTGTCAGTAACTGGATATAAATTGATTAATTTCTTTAGCAGGATAGTTTTATTTATTTTTTTTTTTTTACCACCATTTTAAAATGATCTTTTATATGCTGCAGCCTTGTGTCGAAAAAAAAAATCTCTGCTGAACATTTTTTATGAATTTGTTCAAAAGTATTTGATAATTGTCTAAAAAAGCTTAACACTTGAGTATGGAGTTATTTATAGTAAAAAAAAAAAAAGTAAAAAATGAAAATTAATAGATAGAAAACTTCCTATTAAAGAAAAGTAATGTAGATATAGTGAATAAATGGCATAACATAATAAATTCATAGCTGTCTTTCTGTCCCGCAGGATGAGTACCAGTTCTGCTATCAGGCTGCTCTTGAGTACCTGGGTAGCTTCGACCACTATGCAACATAAAAGAAATCAACACATCCTACTTTCTGCTTTGACGTCAACCTAACAGCAAACAAATTGAAGGAGGGAGAAACAGAGAGAGAGGTGGTCAGAAACAATACTCAACTTTTCTTGGAGGCAACATTTAAAGATTTAAGGACCAATTCTTCACCAACTATTGACAAAAGCAACAACAGTTCCTTAACAGCAGCCAAGCTCACCAGTGCATTCCCTGCTGGGCGCGGAGACTATCCATGTGTAATCCATATACTTACCTCAGTGTTCCAGTGTGAAGGACGTATAAATACATGTGTGTTGTGGTCAGCTATCTCAAGTATGAACCAGTGAAATACAAAAAGGTTTCTGAACAGGAGCTACGCTACTCTATGTGTGTAAAATACAAAAAAGATTTAAGTGAAAACCATAAAAAACACAAAGAGCCTGGATATTTGCTGCACCCGAAATGGGCTTTTTATCCTCAACTTTATATCGATTAGTTTGATGTACTAAAAGGAGTTACAAGGTGAACGTTTCTTTGTGTCTATGAGTCTACTTCAAAGACGTCTACTGACCCGCTAGCCCTGAGGACCCAGGTGGACGCTCTTCACCAGATGCACAGTGCCAAGACTAAACCACGCCGCGCGAGCAACAACTGGGGCCTATAAGGAGGCATGACTCCAGTTTGTTTTCCAGCACGACAGACCAGTACGAGAAAAGTCCCTCCCCAGGTTTACAGTACCTTGAGTCACAGCTGACCTTGGAGCCACATTGATTGGCCGCCACATCCGGAAGCTCACAGGGATCTGCTGCATTCTTCATCGACAAAAAAAGTCCTGCTTGCTGTTTGCTATCGTCCTTGTTCATCACCCCTCCTGGTTCCTCTTGAATGTCTCCCCACTTGTTCAGGAGTTGCTTATTGAAGGCAACGCTAACAGAAGAACTGAGCTCTATATGTTTCCGTTTGTTTCTTTTCTTTGTTCTCATATCTGCAGATATTTGTTTTTGGTGTTTTCCTTTGCCTTATGCAGACTCAAGTTTCCTCTCTTCAACATGCTGCTTGATGCTCATTCTTTGTTTACAAAGCGTTGCGTTGCAAAACATAACATCTTAAAGATAAGAATGGACGTTGTGTCATTATCATCTTCCTACACTGACAGTTTCCTACTTGAATTGCAGTGAAATCCGTCTTATATTTTACCTGTTAAGTTTACTGCTAATGGAGTAATGAAGAAAATCCTAAAAATCAGAAAGCTTGAGGTAGAGAGCCTTGCTAAAGTATTTAAATATGTATATTCATTTGAACTTGTTTGCCTTTTGTCATGCTTCAACCATTCACATTTTTGGAATTTATTGCACATTTGTACAATGGAACAGCATAAATCAAGAGAATATATATGAATATGTGAATACATTTATAATTGATGGGAGCTAAATATAGCTTTATGACCAAGTTTTCAAGGAAAAAAAAAATCCTGAAAATTAAGCTTCATTTTCATTTGAATTTTTACCACCACTGCACCTCTTGTTGGTTATTCCTCCTAAAATACATCAAAGGTTGTGATTGCAGGAAGACAAAATGTGGATAAAATACTTTAGCAAGGGGCTGTACATTTCCAATCCTTCATAGAAAGCCTTTTATATCATTTGTTTCATTTATCCATCTGTAGAAAAGCTAAAAACTTCACCTGTGGGTGTAAACTGCTCCGACTCACGTGAAAATGTTAGTATGTGTCTTTTACATAATTTGAACCGTATTCAAGCTCGACCCGATTCAGTGCTGAAAGAGCATATTAAAGTCCCGGTGGGAGACATATGGGCCAGTTCCACCACTTTTGTACATACAGCCTGCCACTAGAGTCCCACACTGTACCGTTCCTTACATCCTAGCACAGCGTATTTAAAGTGGGACCGGATATGATGTACTTAGCGTCTTTAATAATAAGCCTTATTGTTCTCGCTCAATTTGTCGTATTTATTTCATATGTTTTTCAAAATATATATATTAATTCTATTTTGTTATTTTGTTGGGTTTTTTTTAATTAAAATGTTTGTTTTTTGGCAAGTCAATGTTAAAGTATAAAGTTGCTTTTTTTCTTTGTTTTTCAATTTTTTTATGCTTTTTTTAATTATATGCTTTGTATTGAGGACGTATGCCCTCAGTGTTGGGTACTATTTGATACTAACTACTGATGTCTGATTAGTCATAGAGATGTACAATAGAGGCAGAGCTATTTACGGTTTACAGTGATGCCCCTTATGACCCCCCCATCTCCCAAAGTCCAGCTATACATAGCTCCCGCAGCGGTGCGTTCAGGGCATCGCAAAAATCCAACATTTAGAGCAGACGTGATATGCTGTTGGTGTTTAGTTTGCTTGAAAGCACACAGTAGCAGGTGTATTTATGACAGGGAGGGGATATGAATCGTCTAGCTACACATTTTACACCAACAAACCCTCAGAGGTTATTGTTTAAATCTAAACTTATTCTCATATGAACTCTTATGTGTGGTCCTGGAGTCTTGACAATGTTTGAACATATATAAAAATATGTTACTCCTTCAATTTCTAATGATTATTGTGTCAAGAGAAATATATAAAACAGGCACACGTGAAATGTATAATGAACGTGTGGTGGGCCAGCTCTGATGATGCCATACCCCTCACTTATGTACTTGTACTTTCCTTTCAAACCATAGATGTAGATATTGTATCTTGAATTTGTATTAAAAGCAGATGGTTGGATATTCGGCACTCTGTGCTGCTTGATTCCCATTGTCTTTCTGTGCTGTTCACTTTTCATCCACTAGATGGAGCCAAAGTCAGCTTAGAGTGGACTTAATAGACTTAATAAAAGCAGAATTTGATTTAGCTCGCAAAATAAAATATGTTTTTAAGCTGCTTATCACTTAAAAAGTGTTAAATAAGCTCTAGAACAGATTTGACCGTTTTTCTTATTTCCTTACTCATCAGATGACAGATTTTTTTTCGTGTCTAGAATGAAGATAGTGGAGATTCTAGGGCTATGACAGGTTGTGTCATTTTGACTATGTTAAAAGGAGATAACTCAAATTACATGTAACTTCTTATATAACTTATAACTTCTTTTAAGTGTTTAAATTATTCTTTACAGTAATCATCATCATTTCTACATAATGACATTTGTGACCGACCTCTTATGGTTTATAAGCTGGTTTAAAAGGATTTCTAAAGGTTTAAGGAAACAACAGTGGTGCCTTTTTTAAGGGGGGGAAAGCTTGTTTACATTTTTATAAAGGCTTCAAAGTTTCTATACACTTATCTATATAATGGGGTGAAAAGAAGATAAAATAAATAAATATAAACTGCAAAAAAAAAAAAAAACAGCACAAACAAAATTGTAACTATAATTTAAAAACAGGGTCTGGTTAAAATACTACAAAGAATCTGGTTTTATGTATTTATAATAAAGAGATCAAGTTTTTGGTATTAACAAAACTGTCATTTAGAAAGTTTTTATTTGGTGCAGGATTACTCCTCTAACAACTAATTTAGAAGTCCAAGAGATGAGACAGCAATCACCTATTGAAACACCACAGAAAAAACAACTGAGGAAATGTTTCAGTATTTCAGAAACCTACAAATAATAAGATCTAGTTACTTTTGGGCATGTTAAAGCAAACATTTTAATAGATATTTTCAGAGTTAAACCTTAAAAGATAAATGAAGATGACCCTTGATGCTGAGGCCTGATAATAAAGTTGTTTTCACCCAATCAGATCTTTCCCTTTCCTTCAGCTGGGCTAGAAACTGTCTTTCCAATTGTTGTTAAGTCACATAACACAGGAGGAATGCAAAGCAGCATAATCTACTTCGGTCAACTGCTTATAGGGACCTGACTTAAAACAAAATGTTTTGTTATTACTTTAATTTTGCTGAAAGCAAAATAATATTAAGTATAAAGTACAAATCTATCCACAGAGGCCTAAAGATATGGTATAAATGATTTAAAGAAAATCTGTCATTTAAAGTAAGTAAAACAAAACAACAGAAAGCTGCAGGCTTTTGGCCAACAGTGCACTGATAAATGCAAGAGGCTTTTAGTTTCCTTGTTTTTACTTTTGCATTTCAACGTTGGAAGATAAATCTAATAAACATGAATAAAAGATAATGCTAATAAACAGTAGCCATAAACAGTGGAACTACAAGAGCAATTAAGCTATTTTTCATACTAGCAGGGTATGATTTCTATATTATACCACTTTCTTTAAAAAGTTGCTACAGGCCCGACACAGCAGACTATAGACAGCAGGAATGTTAATCTGTGCATCAGTGATAGCGAGGGTTATTTGTTTTTATCTTCATAGGCTTGACACACCCCTGCCTGATCCAACCTGCTGTGTTAAATAATGAACCCAACTGAGCTCTGCGTGTGTTTTACTTTCTATAATCTACATGAGATGTAGGGGAAGGGTTGATCTGTTAACACAAACTATTGTGCCATGGCCATTCCCTGCTGGCAACAAAAGAATGTTTTTGTTTAGGTTTTTTTGGTTTCTTTTTTTCCTGTTTCTTTTTATTAAATTTAGATCTGTTTTCCTCTTAACAATTCCTCAAGGTCTTTAAGAAAACGAGGTTTTAGGACTGGTCATTTCGAGGAAACCAGTAAAAAACTGAAACTAGACGAACAAGAATTTCTTTACTAGGTAGAGTCCCAGTATGGGTGCTGGGTTGCTGTGTTGAACTTTGGCCAGATAAGGTTGAAAAACCTCGCTGTATAAATAATGCACGTCTGATTAACTCTATCATATAAACTGTTGTTTTGGATATGCGAGGTTGAACGGATTCACTGTATTCTATCGCTGACACTAAGAAAGGAAGACCTTTCTACCTCCTGCTGTTGAGAAGAATCTAGGAAAACGCAGGAAGGACTCCAGGTACAGTACCAGCATCTGCATAACATGTGTTTCTCTCCATGAATCACAGATAAGTATCTTAACATTGAAATCCTGCTGCACTTCATTCCTAACAGACAGTACGCTCTGTGGAAAGCTTTTTAGATACAAAATCATCGACAGCAACAGTCGGTGTGTCTCGCAATAAAACAAGGTTTTGACGAAATATTGTTATCAGTGCATTAAGGTTTTAGTGTATGTGTTCAGAGTCTTGTGGTCTAGAATGAATTAAGACCCAGGCTGTTATGATGAGAACTCTGTTATTTTATGTTAAGTGTAAATGAACCAGGACTAGCAATTTGAAAATCATATCTGCTCTTCACTTCCACTAAGATATGCAACATGAACATTTCTTGTTGCTATGAAAAAACATAATTCAAAGGTTCTCATATTGAGGCAAATTGGATCCCCTCCTGCTGAAAGGTCTGTAATGATTAATTAATTCATACAACTGGCTGTTAATATGAATTTCTCCATGTAAATCACCTCAAACACTCATGCACAAGGTCCTTCGTGTTAGATAATTTCTTGCTCTATGTCACCAGATTGAATGGATGTTGACATTCAATTTTGAAAAAGCTGGTCAAACACTCTTTCATCACAATGACAGTCTCAGTCAAATTTATATAATTTATCCTTAGATCTTTAACCTCAGTCAGTGTGGTTTATTTCATTTTTGTAGCACAATACAACAAAGTAAAAAAAAAAAATGTACAACTCAAATATTACAAAAATCAAAAGATCTTCAAAATATAAAAAGATATTGTAAAATATACCTGAAAAATAAAGTGTGTATTCCATCCCTTTGAATTTGATACCTTTGAATCAGATAGTGTAGATAAATAGCCTTCAAAATGATTCAAATAGTCAACAGAGACCATCTGTCTGGAATTTTATCTCTGCATAAACACAGTTGCCCTGAGAAGACCTTTTGGAGATTTGGAAGAGACTATCAGTAAATAAAAATCCTCACGAAGACCAAGAAAAACAGCAGGCAGGTCAGAGCTGTTCAAAGCTTGTAAATGAAATGCACTTAAAAGAGTAACACATAACTGTACGGCTACAAAAATATGATAGCTTAATTATATCAGTAGACCAATAAAGTAATCAATAATTGGCAGTTAAACAGCCCCAAACACCAGATGTCATTTAGACGTTGGTCTTTAGGCTAAATTGGGCAGTCTGTCATAATCTTGTTTTAGTCCAAAAATCATTGTTTAAAATCCGGCTGTGTTTGGTCGATCTGATTTTGTCCCACTTTAGTCCAACATTGAAAACACATTCCAAACCAGGTTTTCTAAAAATTACAACTTTTCAACTTCCACTTTTCAACAAAATGCACACGTTGTTTGGACGTAAATCATGTTCAATGTCTTTTCAAATGGAGCCTAGGCGGAAGTTCAACTGAAGAAACTGATTGCTCTCTAACATCCGCCTGCGACACAGCCAATTAGTCTTGGACCAAACCTCCATGAAAGCCAATCGGCATCCAAAGTTCATCTTAAAAGGCCTCCGATCTGCACTTGTCTGCTCCTGTGCGCAGGCTGTGGATGCGCTGTGCAACTTAATTCAGATGACAACTTTTCGGCCCCTCCTCCACCATCGTAGCTAAAGCTTCATTAGAGTGTCATTCCACTCGAACTCTTACTGTGTTCCCTGTCTTATCTCAACCGGTCCGGCAGAAGACCGCCATGTTGAGCCTGGTTCTGACAGAGGTTTCTTCTCAACCGGGAGTTTTTCCTCTCCATTGTCGCTTCATGCTTGCTCATCATGGACAGGTTCTCTCAAGCTGTGTTATCCAAACTGGACGTCCATCCTCCAGGTCCCTGAGTGAAGCTCTAGTATCAGCTCACGCAGTCCACTGGATCTCCCCATAAAGCTCAGCATACCATCTTGCTAACCAGCAGTCTACAGACTGAACTTCATCTATCTCCACTCCACCATCAGTTTCAGGCCTGGGTGGAAACAGCCCTATTCTTTGCCCCTGTTCATCCATATCTATCAAAATTAAGCGCTATGTTTCCTGCCGAGGTCTGAGCGCCAAAGACCAAGTAATTGTATCAATTAATTTCTCCTAATTGTCTTTTCTCTTCTTGTGAGTTTTCGGAATGAACTTTTGCATGAAAGCTTAGCTGGGAGAACCTGCTAGTTAGCTTTTAGTCATTTACTCCACACACCTGGCAGTTATGGATGAGTGGCAAAAGAAAAATATTATTGACATAGTGTAAGTAATTTGCTACAACCCATTTGGACTCAGCCAACAAATGTAGCAGGCTGCTTTGGTCAAAGACGTGTTATATTGACGTTATAGACCAACATGCAAAAGTACACATCACCCTTTGTGAAATAATAAATAAATAAATAAAAAAAGTGGCCAAATGGTGGTGTCGAGATGTTTTTTTTTTCAATCAAGTAAGAATAAATAGTTGGACTAAAAAGTGGTTTGAAACTTCCTTTTCATATTTTCATAATGGTCCTGCAATGTCCGAGTGAAAATCAGTGGTAAGAATTAAAAACGTCTTTCTACTATCAATTATGTTTAGAAATACTAACAATCCCTATCCATATAGTCACATAAATGGAAAATAAATAGAAAAAAGACAAAAAATATTTTTTATCCTTTTAGAAATCAAAGCAGTTTTGACTGACTGTAAGGTACATCACAGGCTGACCCATTATTATTTACATTAATGTATCAGTCTGTGATGTAGCTTATTGTAGCTCAGGGTCAATCTACACTGTTCCAACAGGAACAAGCACAACATCCATGTTTTTTTTTAAATAAAGACAAACTTTACTTTCCTGCAGCCTTTG